CGGTATGCATGCATAGCATAGACCTCGATCATCAACGACAACTTTACAATGAGTCGATGAGATAATGACAGCCAAATGAGTCAAAAACCAGTCAACAATGTGTCTCCCAATCATACATGAGACAGCTTAAAAACATTTAAAATGTTAAGACGACAAATGACAATAGCCGAGGTGTATATGCTTCACATATATAGTAGCCACACTATTTTTACCACAAAGCGCTAACTAAACGTGCATGCATTTTTACCTGTAGTGTTAAATGCCATTCTTGACAAAAGGATAACCCGTCTGTTCCCGTGGTCTCCCAATCAGCCTTCGTCGCCTGTCGAACGGGGCTATAACCGGGCCCGCGCACGCCCTCACGCACGGCGTCGGTGGCGGATGTCTGCCTGCGGGAAGGCGGCGACACCGACCGTTCGAGCGACAGCCGGGGCCGCGACCTGCGCACTGCCTCGGTCTGCGGCAGCCGGGCACCGACCGGCTGCCGACCTATACTCGGCGCCGAGCAGCCTTCAGGGGCTTCGCTTGTAGCTCTTGGGCTGTTCTTATTCGGACTCTGCAGGTAAAAGTAGCACGAAAATCGCAGTATACCGTTACAAAATTGCACTGTGACCCTAAAGTCACACACCTGAGGCGATATTAGGACATGAAAGGTCACCCGTCAATTATCCAATCAGGCATGCTGGAGCAATGCAGAATGCAGATGTCTTAGAACCATGAAAGAACGATATGGACCACCTCAAAAATGATATGTTAATAACATAATGTTATATGAACTTTCCGGGCCAGGTCATGATCATGACTTAGGTCGAATTTTCAAATTCGTCTTTTAAGGTCACAGATAAAACTATTTCGACGGTCTTAACGGAGGAAACAGGATGTCGAAAATTAATAGCATAACAGGCGTTAGGAACCTTCAAAACCTCCCAGGCGGCTCACCCGGTCTTACACCCGGTCAGGGGTGGAAAATATAGGTATTGTTCGCCATTTTCGTACCGTACCATCCGGAGCCATGCGAGTCAATCGCCTAGGGGGGGGGGGGGGGGGGGGTCGTGCCAGTCCCCACCCTAGTCAGTCACGATTTACGCTATGGAAAAGAGCCCAGCTGGATGGGGTTTACAAGCATGCTCTATGAAAGTTACATAGCTTTATGCTTCCTCACGAGAAAAAAACGACGCAGTTTCGTCGCCCGTCGGGCTCAATTCCCTTCCACCTGGATCCGCCAGCGATGGAACTTGGAAGGCACTTAAATTTGTGTGTAGGTATACCATATATGACATGCTCAAGGCCAAGCAGTCTCAAAGTCAAGGCTATAGAACTCCGGCAGGCTCTTCGTTACAAGCATCGAGAAAATCGTAAATGATTTCATGCGTACCTACTTCCCCCGGGGTCTCGGGCCCAGTCAGGCGCACGGGGAGTGTTTTCGTAACTTTCTGTTTCTTATCAGCACCGGGGCACCGTGCCCCCTTGATTTGGCCCTTTAACATTAGCCCTATGGGCGTTGCAGATGGAAAGAATGGGACCAAAAGTCAGGGGTGGATACTTTTGCCGAGTTGGGGTTGCACGGGCGCAGCGAATCCGCCGCCGCCCTAGCGGTGACCTTGACCTCCCCGTCTGTTGCGGCTCCAAAGTCAAGCCGGCGTGGAATTGGGAAAGTTCGTGCTACCCCAACTCGGCACAATTCTCCACCACTGTCAAAAGTCGGCAGTGCCCCCCTCCCCCCCCCCCACCCTAATTGAAGGTGTTGCGCCAGGGCCTCGTCTAACATGTTAACTGGGGGGGCAATTGCCTCCCCAGTCGAGCGGATTGCCCCCCCAGTGGCCAGCATTTGCCCCCCCAGTCAAAACGTGAACTTCTCACAAAATTACCTTCTCTGCAATGCGTTTTTGTTAGGAGTCTTATACGGATTTAACGAGAAACGTTAAATTATTTGTTCAAAAACTGTTCATACTCCATGACTACGGGAAAAGCCAGAGTTTTGTGATTTATAGAGCTGAGTACCCACTGTGATTCTGTGATTTTGCTACTGTGATTCAAGTAGCAAATTATCAATGGGCAGCTGCCAGTGACCCAACTCGTGTTTGTGTCCCCCCCCCCCCCACTCAATCAAACGCCCACGGCCCAACACGGATAAATATGTTTAGCACTGTCTGGTGGGGCAATGTGAGGGGGTAACACATTAATCTTAACTCTCGCCCGTATTGGTGTTTTTCCAGCCGCGAACGTATAGCGGGGGGGGGGCGTTCTACCTTGCCCCTTGCCGTTTCGCCCCTGATCGAGCTAGAGCTTCGCGGAGAAAACCACCGTGTTGCCCGTCACGAGAGGAAGCCGATGATGCCTCATTTTAAGGTCCTTAGTCTTCGGTTGACCTTCCAGGTCAGGTCTATGACCCTAAAGTCGGGAAAATCGCGGGACCTGTTACAACGTGGTAAAGGGTGGCTGTTATGTTTTTTTCGGGTGCTGATCACGAATATCATGTTAGTTAATTATCACAGATGTCTTCATGCATTTAGGCCAGGTCGGGTCAGGTCAGGCCAGGTCAACCAGTAAGGGTTTTGCCGGGTATTCGTAGTAGGTGGCAACCGCCTCTGGCTCTGACAGCTTCGTAACATGTTACGAAGGCACCAAAACTACTTCGTATATGTTCAAATGGTTGCTAAATTCGAATTCAGCTCCAAAAACTGGCCTAGAATCATGTAAAACTCGAAAAAGTGAACCGAAGTCATCAAAAGCCAATGACCTGACCTGACCTTGCGGTGACCTTGACGCCTACCCTAATGCATGGGAGCAATATCATATTCCATGTTTGAACTCTTGAAACCACGAAAAGACTGCAAACGCGCGGCTAATGCGAGCCGACATACGCCGAATCGCGATTCCGGCCAAATATGGTCTCGAAAAGAAGTCACAGGTCAAAGGTCATTACGGTCAGGGTCATGACATTTTCAAAGTAGGTGTAAAATTGACTAACGCGTGGGTACTGAAAGTTTCGTCGCGGTCAGCCGCTTTTACGTGAGTTATTCGTGAAAAACCGGGGGGTCCGTTCGCCCCTCCCCCCCCCCCCCTATACGAGCATGGCTCTTTTTTGTTTTTTTTTTGTGTGTTTTTTTTGTTAAAAAGAAAAATGGTCTCAGGGCTGTGACGAAAAACAAGTGGCCTAAATCCGGTGAGAAAACAGGATTTGGGGGTACCCTAGGTTTGGGTCCTTCAGTCTCTGCCCCCCCAGTGAAAATTCCTTAGACGAGGCCCTGTGTTGCGCCGCTACTGCTTGTTTAGGTACTACAACTTCCAGTTGGACGTTAGTCTAACGAATTTCGACCGATTTTCTTCTACCTTTATTTCTCCTAGTGCGACCGAGAACCTGGCATCCAGCTGTAGGGGAAAGAGGGTGAATTGCGCCACCTTTAGGAAAAACGCTAATTGTAAGAAAATCGCTGGAGATATAAGCATGCACTGGTAACCATTTCAAAGAGGAACTCATTGGCTACGATTTAAGAGCCTCCCGATCAATTAAGAATGTTTCGTTTGCTTCTGATGGCTGCTTTTTCAGAAACATGCAAAAGGGCGCATTTGCCAACAACTGCTGTAAATTGCGCCAGGGGGATGGCGCAATTAGAACCCAATTGCGCCCTATACTTTAACATGGCTAAGCGAATGAGACGGAATGCATACACCCCGGCAGTCTAATGTCATTGCGGCTTACTTAAACATTTATATTGTTAATCAGGCTGGATAAATAATAAATGTAGATATAAATCGCGATGTTTTTTGCCCAGGTAGATGACTTTACATGTGTCCGTACCCTTGTAAAAGTGCAACGAAAATGTTTACTGTAACCGACTAGATATATGTGAACGTATGCGCCTATACGGTTAAATTTTCAATCGTTTCTCTCAAAATTAATAATTTTTTATCGTTTCGACAACTTTATGACATCAGTTTTTACTTTTTTATCATAGCTGTCACCTCTCACGCCTGATTCCATGTTGAAAATGTCGTATTTTGTCAATTACACCACAATTTCCTAGCCTAAATGGCTGCTGCATTATAAGTTTGACAAGGGAAATAATTTGCGGACTGACGACAGCGGTCTGCTCCCCTGCCTGATATTAAACTCCTTCTTAATTGCAATCAGTTACTGATGCATTCATACTATAGCTACACCATTATTCTATTTGCGCCCCCCTGGCGCAATTGCCATGGGCGCAATTAAAATTGAGGTACTTTTTAATAAAAGCGTAGAAGTTATCATTAAGATGTTGAAGGAAGTTTACTGTTTCAGTGAAATATAATGAAAAAAAAGTTTTTTCTTTCTAAATATCACTCTGAAAATCACACAAATATCGCGAATTCTTATAGCCAACGGTTTAAAATGCTGCAAAAAAGCTAAGAAAACGCCGTAACATCTTTGATGGCGTATTGAGTCTTGCTGATTGGCTTCATCGGAGAGCTTGGACCAAAAAATGAACTATCCAGTGGTGAAAATAATGTTTTCGAACACAAAATTCTTAACATGCCATTGAATCCGTGGGAATGTTGGTGGGCGCAATTGGTTAGGAGGGTGCAATACACCCACTTTCCCCTACACTCCCTGGGCTCACACAACAATAACGAACAATGAACATGTAATAGCAAGAAGAAACACTGACGGCGATCAAGGCTTCACTCCTAAGCCGCAAGAAGTGACGTCGATTAACTTTTGTTTGTTTGTTTGTTTGTTTTGTTGGGTTAGGCCCTTTCGGTCGACAAGACCATTGCAGAGCCGGAAGGATGATAGGAATTAGGGGGAGACATTGGTCTGGGCAGGCACCCTAGAGAGTCGCCGGGGCTGAGCCCGTCCATAGGACAGGCCGACCAGCCCCCCAAGCACTTATAAGTAAAGTAAAGTAATCTTGCAAGCACTCTCTGCACCCGGCTACGGGGTGCAGCTTCCTCGGGAGCAGCGGTGCCACTCCAAGGGAGCAGCCCGCATGAGATAAAGTTGCCTGTCCAGCCCGGAAGGGGGTTGTGGCGTGGAGGAGAAGGATTTCAGTATCCTGAGGATAGAAGCACGGATAGGTGTCGATTAACTGTTTGTCAAGGCCCTAAATACAGTTTGTATTTTCTCTCGTGAAATAAAACTTATCAAACTTATCAATGAGCGTTGTCAAATTGTTGCGCTCTGGTTGCGCTATTTTGCGTTGATTTTACGTCACCTTGGTAAATAGTCGTCAAGCGTAGATTGTGGAAGAATAATACAATTTTTTTATATTTACAGACGAAAACTGCTTCATATGTGTATTTTGAACTAACCTACATATGCTTGAAGTAAGATGTAAATCCGCTTTGCACTTTTGTTATTTTAGATGCTATCGATTTCAACCTGGATTCTGTTTTATTGGAATGAAATGGCAATGGTTCATTCATGCATTTCAATTTTGATTTTACATTGCTGCAGATGCCTATCTCATCTTTTGCTTATTTTCTGTGAATTGAAGTTGAGTTTCAAAAGCACATTTCCTCTGTTGCACCATTTTACTTTGAAGAACGCAAGCATCCCCTGCATGCCACAAAATCAATCTACATTTCGGTGTGAATGAAAATGTGTGCTTAAGGAAAATGTGAGATGAAGTTTGTGCTATGTAAACCTGTCAAGTATATTCTATTCTGTTCAGAGGCTAAGAAAAACCTCAACAAGCCATGCTGTCAATGAGATTATTTATAGTGCGATTTGCGTTCACTCATACCTGGGAAATAAAAGTTAGGCTTTTTAACCCGCGCCGGGCCGGTGCTCTGAGATTCCGCGCCGGGCCGGGGGGGGGTGTCTGAACACCCCCCCTTCTAACTCGGCTCCTGGGCCACGTAGCGACACGCGGTAAGCGGCAATCGAAAGAACGTTCAAAATAAGGACGAAAACACTTCGGTCATTTTTTGGGTCAGGTCAAAGGTCAGGTCACCAGAGGTCACCAAAGGTCAAATGTCCACTATTTCAACATTTTGGGAACTGCCAACGGCTATCTCGGGAACCGATAGAGCTACAGCGCCGCGGAAAAGCGCATTCGATAGCCCTTTTACAGTCCTTTCTGAGTAATGTTCTCAGATTTGACCTCAGGTCAACGGTTTAGCCTCCAGGGGGCAAAAACTCCAAAAATAGCTGTTTTTACGAAAAACGTTTTTTCGGCAATAGCTTTTGACTCAAAAGAGTCATGACATTACTTTTGCCACCATCGTGTTCCTCTCGTCGAGACGCGTCGAATGAACTATAATTTGACCTTGAAAGGTCAACTTGAAAATTTGACCTCAGGTGAAGGTCATGACCTGACCGGAAAAGGTCATGTTGCATATCAGTCGATCCGCAACGTCGAGCCGAACACATCTAAGGCGTTTTCAGCGCTCTAGCACGTCTCTATCAGAAGTTATTAGCGAAAAACTGTTAGATTCTGTTCGTGACCTGAGATGACCTCGGGGACATAACGAGGGGTCACAGTTGCCATTTTCCGGTTCAGTGTGTCCATTTTACCTACATCTCGATGTTTGAGAGTGTCTAGAATAACGTTCGTGCAAAACAGATGCTTTTCAATTTTCTCCCATTGACTTATAATGGAGAGGTCGCAAAATTGACCTGACCTTAGGTCATCGATATCAAAATTCCGAGATATACATTTTATAGATATTGTTGCTCTTATCAATCGCTGAAAGTTTCAAGGCAATCGATCAATCAGTGTAGCTATGACGAGCATTCTTATTTTTTCTGAGGTGAGGTCACTTGGCGTGACCTGGTGACCTGACCTAAGGTGACCTGGGTCTGAAATTTTCACAACATGTGCGGAAAAGATGCACGAACAGGTGTGCCAAAAACCGCAGGGGGGGGGGTGTTCAAACACCCCCCCCCCCCCGGCCCGGCGCGGGTTAATGGCTGAGTGCTTTTGAGAGGAGCATGCTCAATTGTTCAGTGCCTACCGACTGACAGTTTATTCAATATTTAAATGTTTCCTTGAATATGTGAACATTTGCTCTGGCTTTTTTCACTTAGCTTGATGTTTTATTAAATTTGATAAAAATATTGTCAATACCTACCACACACATTTTTGCACATTTCAATTTTTGCCACTTTAATTGGGTGCAAAGTTCATTGAGATATAAAACCTGTCAGATCATTTAATATTGAAGTTTAATTGCTAAAGCAAAACAACACAAATGCCTGATTTTTCAAATCACTTAGGCCTCAGACATCAATAAATAAATACTGTGAAGCCACTTCTAGCATCTACCTGCTTTTCTTCTAACTATTTTGATTCATTATTACTTTTTTATTTCTTTTATTAACTTACTGTGGATGATAACAAAACTGGGTGTATTTATATATTAGCATTGTGAGGAATCATAGGAATCATTTTTTTCCCAATGATTAGAACCTGGCAAATGGCAATGGTGTATGTATAGTGCAAGTTATGCACCCTGCTGAGTTGAACAATTATTCTGCGTGAAAAGGATAATTGGTTATTACAAATGTAATATATTTTGGATAATACCAAGGTGGAAACTAGGAGCCATGTAGTACTATTCTAAAGTTGGTAGTATGGTATTCAAATATGTCACCAAAAGCTGTCAATGAACTGGAAGTGTGTGGATTTTGTTTGCAGTATGTTGTTGGGTATTTGATGGACAGTGGTTAGTGTGCTGGTATTAGTGGTTTTCTGCCGGAGCGAGTGTCGGCGCCCGGCGGACGCCGCTCGCGGACGGCCCGGCGCCGGCCGCTGCTGAGGGCGCCACCTCTGTTCGTAGGTGTCCGCGGACGGCCGTACAGAGATCGGTTCTGCCCAGTGCGCCTGTGCCGTCTGCCGGCTGGCAGAGGTCGGCCCAGCGGTACCGTCAGTCGTCCCACGGGGCTGGTCCGCCGGCCGCTGCACCGATGGGGGGCACCGTGTCGCGCGCCGGGCGGGCGCTCTTCTCCCACTCCTCGGAGGCGCCTCCGTCCACGGAGGAGGTCCGAGGCGGCGCCAGTGCGGTCCGCCTGCCCTGTAAGGCCACTGCTCTGGTGCTGACGCGACGTGGCTCCATGTATCTGGATGAGGACGACGACCTGGCGCATGAGTTCTTCGAGCAGGTGCCCGCCCGCCAGCCGGGCCGCACGCGAATGCGGCGCGTCAACGTGCGCAAGCTGCGGCCGCAGGGGCTGGTCAAGTACAGGTTTCCGCGGCTCCACGTCGACTTTCCGATCGTGCTGTATCGGGACTGAGCGGCGCAGGCTGGCCGCAAGGGTGTTCGGAAAGCGGTGCAGGCCCGCCGCGAGCGTATTCGGAAAGCGGTGTTGCTCCGTGTCTGGGAGAGTACCGTGAAAAGTCTGTGGTGGACCCACGGAATGGTGCATTGAATTGGTGCAGTGCTGATGCAATAGAAAGCCTGGAGAGTATAAAAGGCACGAAGAGACTGGTTTGATGTGACGAAGTTGCCTCGGTGCTTGGTACGAACTGGCGAAGACGTGGTTAGATAAGGACTTGTGTGGATTTAAGAGAGGCTCGCTTTCAGTTAGTGTGGTATCGTGTTGGCTCAGATACGATCGAGTCACACAGGGACGGAGTGGGCAGTGGGCACTGCGATCCCGGTCTGCGTCGTTAGGGACTCGAGATCTCCAGTGCGGGACGCCGATGGAGTATGTATTTATTGGTGATTGGCTAGACCGTTGTGAATTTAACTGGGGTAGTGTACTAGTCTAGCTAATGCGATTGGCGCCGTGCAATTTTCGTTGATGTCGGTGTGGGCTTGCCGAGTCGTAACGTTTGCTCGTTCATTCAGCGTGGGATGCCTGGCTACTATTGGTGACTACCTCAGGCGTTATAGTCTGAGTTGACGTGGTGAATGCTCGACTATGTTTGGTGCATGTGAGGTTTTGACAACGACGTGCGTTGCAGGGCCGGGAGGCTTTATTTGAGGCTTTCACAGCTGTTTGTGCTTGCACGGCTCACTGGCTCATCAGCAGCCGTGGAGGCTGTGACAAGTAGAACGCGCTACTAGCCAGAACTGTACTCGTGGTCATAATCGTATCTTTTATCAAATGTCTACCCCTTGCTGGGTGATAAACGTAAATGTTTAGCGCACCCCTCCCTCACAAAGACGTCGGAACGTATGTAATAAACGCGAAGCACTTGCTGTACAATTTGTGTTTCGTGCTGGTGAGGACGCGAGTTGCCGTGCGAAGTGATTTCGGGGCTGTTTCAAACGAGTTTAACTGAACCATGGATGAGATACTGAACAATATAAATTACACAGCAATAGCGAGATGATGTATGTACGATGGAGGAATTAAAGCATGCGTTTGAGGCGACGGTCAGTCCTTGGCTCTCCTGTCACTGAGTTCCTCGCACCTCTGTTCTTTTCGCTTTTCTGTGCACCCTGTACCTATCGCCGACTCTCTGGCTCTGACCTGCACTGGCACCGATACTGGGACGAGTGCGTCCCCACTGCAGTCTGGTATATAGTGGTGCACGAACTCTCATTTCCATAGTGCAGTGGTCATGACAGTTTTCTGGTGGAAGCAGGTTTAAGCATTCAGGCAAAACAATGCATTCATTGCATTTCAATTTCTGACAAGGATTTCATATGTGCGCAATGCTTTCTTGTATGCGTTGCTCAACACATATTGCTGTTAAAAAAATTGTTGGGCTCAGATATGCTTTTTGAGTTTAGTGAAGAACAGTTGTTCCTAGTCGCTATACAGTAGGGCATTCAAGTGAATAGAACTATCTAATATAATTACCAGTGGTCCATGAAGTAGACGCAATGCTCATAGCAGTATAAAACCTTCAAAACGTGCAGGTACCGCCCACTGGTCCTGCTTGCCCTACCCTCCTTGGTCCCACCCATCTCCTCATTTGTTTGGTTTTGCTAGTGCCGTAGTCCCATTGTATCCCTCGTTGTTTCTATTCCATTCTATTTTGTCCGTCTGATTATGCATCTCGGACTCCGAGCAGTAGCTTCATAGCCAGTAGCTTCCCACCCACCTCTTACCTCCCTTTGTCTCCTGCTTGTGTCCCGTACATCCCTCAAAATGTCCCGTCCCCTACCCGTCTCCGCCCGTCCCCCACCCGTTTCCGCCCGTCTCCCTGCCGCCTCCCTCCGTCCCTCCTCTCCCTCCTGACCGTCGCCGTGGCGTGGCCCTCAGACGTCGCGTGTTCTGAACGCGCTGCTGCCGCCGTGCGCGCTGGTGGCCGTCGCGGACGTGGTGGCCGCTCCTCGCCGTCTCTCGGTGTCACAATACGGCCGTGGGGACACCACCTACGTGCCGGCCGAGAGTCTGAACCCGCCCACACCGCTGGCCGCGCTAAGAGCGGCGCCAGTGCCTCCACCGGCGCCGGCGCCGCGCGGGTCGCTGACACTCAGTGGAGAGAGGCTCGGAGCTGAGCTGCAGGATCCCGAGGAGAGAGACGGAGAGGCGCCGGAGGCTGAGGGTGCAGAAGGCGCGGCTGCTGAGGTGGAGGAGCCGCCCCAGTGGCGTGAGGAAGGGAGCGTGGCGCAAGGAGAGACAGCCGTGACGACGGACTGGCAGCCGATCCGGGAGGCTCAGAAGGTGAGATGTTTGCAGTTTTGTGGCAAATAGATGGTTGGGGGGGGGGGACACGGGAGGGGTACACCACACATCCTGTGCTTTGTCTGCGGCTTGTTAAAAAGCATAGCGATGTGTCGGTGGCCAGGCTGGTAGGCGTCGTGTTGTGAACTTTCATAGATACAACTAAGGTTCGTATTTGAGCCATCAATAGATGCTACTTCTCTTTGTGCACTTGGAGTGATGGCGCCTTTTGCACATTATGACGTATGCTTATCAGTTCCAGAGTGCTGATGACTTGAACCCGCCGTCTCCGTCCCGCGGCCTGGACCGACTGCACGTCTCGGCTCCGGACCTCAGTTCACTGCGGGGCCGCTCGGCGGCGCCACCTCCGCCCCGGCTGGTAGCGCCTCCGCCGCCGCCCCAGCCTCCTCCTCCGGAGGCCGGGGACGCCGTGTATGACAAGCCGCGACGCCGACCCGTCACCGTTCCCGTAGACCGGCTGGTGGAAGAGGTGACCGCTCTGCGCAGGGACAACTACCAGCTGCGACACATGGTGCACCGCTCCCAGGCGGCGGCGGCCGGTGGGGAGAGTGCCGAGAGGGAGAGAGGGCGGAGGGAAGATCAGCTGCGCTCGGCCCGCCGGCACACGGACAGACTGGCCCGGGAGGCCGACCAGTTGGCGGAGGCCAACCGGCGACTGGCGGCCGAGAACAGTCGGCTGAGGGCGCAGCCCGACAGACAGGTAATGATGTTCGCCTGGTCTAATTGATAGGCTATGCCCCTGTTTAGACTTTAAAGTCTACCAAAGTGTCTTGACCTTTTAGCTGCTTGGCCGTGTTGTCCTTTGTGTGTTGAGTTCCCGCTGTCCTTTCTGTGTTTCTAACCTTGCACTGTGTCCCACCCCTCGCAGGACTCTGCTGCCTTGCGTCAGCTGGTGGTTCGGCTCAGCGAGCAGCTGTCCCGGCAGCTGGGCCAGCCGCCGGCCGAGGCCGATCTACTGAGCCGCCTGAACGACCCCCGCCGGCTGCCGCCCCTGCTGGAGGCCTATGATCAGGTACTGTGCCTCTACCTGCTGGCTACTCCACAAGTAGGACACGAACTAAATGGGGGGACTGAGCTACACCACTGGGACAATTAAACATCTGAACCAGTCTGAGTGTCCTCCAGCTATTTTTCGGGTATTTATGCATCGTGCCACTGCAGCTGTCTAGATGATTAAAAATGTTGATGGAATTGGACAGTTTTAGCAATGGTTTACTCTCATAAGTCCACTCGCATATTTACTGTTTCTAAACGTACCTTCGTATAATTTATTCCAAGCCGCCATCTCGTGGGGGTATCGGACCGGTAAGATCCCTTATCCCTTCGTCCGTTATCACCCTTATTGACCCCACTTCCTTCTCACTCTCCTCCCTCTCCCCACTGTTCAGGTGCAAGCAAACAGACAGCGGCTGCGCTCACTGCACTCTGCCCTCTCACCCTCCCCTCTCACCCTCCCTCTCTCCCTATTGCTCAGGTAAAGGCGGAGCTGACTGAGCAGACTGAGCGGCTGCGTTCCGAGCTGTCGGAGCTCCGCCAGCAGCTGCAGCAGCTCACCGAGGAAAACGAGAAGCTGCACGCCGAGGCCGCCGAGGCGCAGACCAAGGTGAGGGTGAGGTGGATAGGCCAGAGTACGAGCAGCCAAAATTACGGGCATGCCATGGTACGTTTAGACTAAAAGTACATATGTAGGTACAGACCAGAATAAATGTAGGCCACATAAGTACCTACTGCACGCTGAGGCCGCCGAGGCTCAGACCAATGTAAGGCGGTGACACAGAACGGTTTTGGGAGATACAGACGCCGCATACAGACTACAGATAGATCGAGATCTGGCTAAAGGATGGTCAGATCAAGGTACGACGGTATTACGGACAACTGACATGCCATGGTCCAAGAGTGGGTAAGGACGAGGGACGGAAGACATATCAAAGACGGTAGTATGTGATATCGACTGACCAGGGTTTGCCAAAGTGGCACGGGTAGATCAGGGGCGTGACTCTTCTCTAGCTGGAGCGTAAGATCTGCGGTGGCTATTACCTAATATCTCGCTCAATTTCGTCTCCATAAATCCTTCGTCTCCGTTCCCCTTCAGCCGGGAGTGACCCACCACGAGTGGCGCCAGCTGTCTGAGAACGCCCGTTTGGTGATTGAGGAGAATCAGCTGCTCACGGACCAGGTGCAGATCCTGAAGGAGAAACAGGCAGAGCTGACGGCCGAGCACCACCGGCGCGGTAAGAACCGGCCGAAAGGTTGTTAAACACCTACATCTGCTGTTAATGCTGCTATAAAAAGGCCATCAGTCCTGTTGCAGCAGTAACAAAATAGTGTTCGTAAGAAGTGTAATTTTTTCCTTTTGCTTTGGTCATGTGATAAATCTCAGTCTGTGCACCCGAGGTTACAGCGGTCATGCTGCATGTTAGTATTCCAAAAAGTAGCACGACGAGTCACCGACCCCCTGACCCGCGTCTACCGTCCCTCCGACAGAAGCGGAGCTGTCGTCGCGTCTCACCGACCTCCAGCAGACGGTCACGGAGCAGCGGGCGCGGCTGGAGGCGGAGCAGGCGGGTCGCCAGCAGCTGGCTGACGAGCGGGACAGACTGCTACAGCAGCTGGAGCGCTCTATACCGCGCGAACAGCACGAACAGGCCGTGGCAGAGTGTCGCAGGTAATCAGACGAGAGAGGAGAGGCAGGTAACCACACTGGGATAGCAGCAGAGAGTGCCTAACCATTCGGGGAAGAGCAATGTGTCTTTGATGTTCACATGGAAGGCGAATAGCAGGTAACCTTGCGTGGTAGCTTATCATGAGTAACCATACTAATGTGAAGTGTCGCTCGATGTCCATGTCAGTCTGTGCCCCTGAAACCGCAGTCTGTACCTGATGTCCTGAAGTCTGTGCCGTGTTCCTATCGATCTATCTGCTTGAGTGCGTAGATCATTTGCATCTGCACAGTCGGACTGATCCTCGCCCTGTGTTAGTAAGTCTCGGTGACCCATTTTCACCCCCTCCCCTCCCAGACTATTTGAGGAGCTGCGCGGTCGGTACGGCTCGGAGCGTCTCTCCCTCCTCTCTGACGTGGAGGCGCAGCAGTCTGAGCGCCGACGGCTGGTAGTTCAGCTGACGGAGGCGGCCACACAGCGAGCCGCGGCCGACACCAAACTGCGGGCCGCCAATAAAACCATAGCGTGAGTAGCCGATACGGAACCGCGGTGGGCCACGGGCTTGGACGCGGAATGACGGGACTCGGGGCGCCAACGTCATCGGGGACCAAGCTGAGTAATTGTATTGTGTTGTAGCCGCGGCTGTTTTCCACTTGGAATGACGTGCTCCTTGCCCACATCTCTGCAGGCTCAATCTTATGCTGTCTCTTGCTCTTGGCACTTGGGTTATTTATGAACTTATGTTTCTGTCCTTTTCAGTCGTCTGGAGCGTCGCATCTCCAGTCTCCAGGGTGAACTAGACTCGGCTCAGAAGGTCAACTCCGAGGCCTCCGAGCACCTGGCTGAGGTGAGTGACCTGACCTCGTAGTTTCCCCTCGCTCAGCGACGTTTGTAGCTTCTAACCACATGCCGGGTGAGATCTATCACGATATTGAACTTAGCATTACTTATTATATGACTTACCGAGCTCTCATCCAAAGTACCTGTTTTCTACCCGTTCCGCTGAATGCTGATCACGCCGATGTCTGTGACGTCAGGTGCTGTCGGCCACCGATCAGCTGATGGCCGAGCGCAGTCAGCTGGCTCGACTAAACTCTAGTCACCTGAGTGACGGAGACAAGCTGATGGAGAGATTCGGAGACGAGAGGGCGCACAACCTCCGACTCCGGGACAAAATTAAGGTGAGTCGTCTCGTCCGGGCGGGACAGAGTTATGTGGGTGACCTGTTACAGCTGGCCTGTCATGGCTGTCTAGTCCCGTGAGCTGGCACCTAGCTCACAGAAATGAAGCTGAGCTAGCAATGTTGGCCGGATGCCATTTCGCCATCTCAATGCTTCACGTTTTTCGTCGTGCCTTACTTCTCTCTGTTCAACGACCGGTAGCGTGGGTGCGGTATTTTATCGGTCGATGAGGTCAGGTGCGGAACTTAACTGCCCCGTGATGTCAGTAATGTGACGTTGCCGGCTCATCAGGTCGCCCTGGTGTAAGAGCGGTGACCACCCGTCTCACCCCGTCCTCAGTCTGTCCGCCGGGAGTGTCAGCAGCAGCTGGAGCGGGCCGATGCGGAGCTGGCCGAGCTCTCGCGGGCTCACGAGCTGCGGTCAGCCGAGTACGAGCGGCAGCTGGCCTTCCTGAGGGCCCGGCTGGCCGACGAGCAGCGCCAACTCGAGACCGCCCGCACCGACAACAGGTTTGTCATCTTACGTGCTGATACCACTGTTCAGATAGTTACTCCCGAATCGATAATAGGTCAGCAGCTGCCGTTCTTTGGTCAACCACAGGTTAGTCACGGACTGGCTGACAAGAGAATGTGTATCTGGAATTGGCAAAGAATTAAAACTCAACTGTCGACCACGTCCAGAGTTCATTCCATGGATCGTGACAACGAAAAACATTTGCTTCCCTTAGTTGATGTGCTGGATATATTATGAATAAATAGGTCTGACGTGCATCGTCGCCGTTTCAGGCGTGTAACGGAGGAGCTGAACGTGCTGTCCCGAGCGGCCACCGCCGAGAATCAAAAGCTGAAGGAGCAGCTGCAGCTGGTGCCGGAACGCGACTCGGGCGCCTCTGACGGCAAGTAGAGGCACTTCGAGTTCTTTTTTCGACACTAGATGACGTAACTCGCAGGGACCAACAGCTAGTCGATCCGTCCATATATCCGTCCGACTGAGTGTTGTTTGTGGCTCTGCCGTGTCATTCTCTCTAGTCATTATCTAGTCAGGCTGGCTGCCACCGTGAAACTCCTGCGGCTTCATAAGGATACCCCTTCCCTCCAAGGTGTCTTGCTTTGAAGAGGGATGTTTTGGAAGATGACGGCCACTGCCACGAGTCTGTCCCCCTTCGTTGGACGGTGACAGGTTAAAGCTGTTTAGCTAGCCCTGTAGAGTTCGTGTGGGTGAACTGCACAAAACACGAACGAACAAACGAATACCGAGATGATGGTGGAAAAGAAATGTTTGTGAAAAGCACGTCACTTTGTTAGCACAATAAAAAGATATTTCGACTTAACGTTTTGATTGGCATACCGCCGGCAGCCTTTGATAATTCACTAATCTCTAGACCTTTTAGGTCAACGGGACTGGATATCTTTCACTCAGAATGTCATTCCCAGAGTTGGTTATAGACTGGGCTTTGGTTACAGATTGGTCGCTCGTCATTCTCCCATCAGTGTCGCCTAGTTATTGTCATTAAATATTGTTTTCAGTTCATTTCATTGGGTCGATGTCGGTCTATGGTCTCGTCCTGCCTTATTTTTGCCCCTGCCCACCACCGCCTCCACCCCTGCCCTGTACCGCGCCTCGCTGCCCACGTCAGAGCTATATCACCTGTAGTCTGTACACAGCACTCCGATAATGAAGATCGGATCAGTTGCATTGATCGCAGCGCTAATATTGGCCGGTACGAGGGATCCTTTTAATACCGACTCACCCGCCTCCGCCCCCACACCAGTCCCCCCCCCCCCCCACCCCCCTCACAGCCCTCCGAGGCTTTCAAGGAAACGGGCATTACAGAACCGTGATCTGTCCGTTTCTATGTGACCATCGGTAAGAACTACGGGGCATTGTCATGTCTCCAACTTGCCCGTGTATCGATGCGAATGCTCCTAACGAAGTACAGAGCCGGATCTTTGGTTGAGGTGTATTATCTTCCACGGTTTTTGTGCTGTGACTGTGACTAGATTCTACTAGTCGTGTTACGTTCGGACTGTGTTGTGGCTTTAACGCCGGTTTCCATTCCCTCACATCCGTACCGTGTTGACTGCGAAGCTTGCTTCCGCTGCCCACTGCATATGTTCATTTGATCAGTTTTGTGATAGAGATGTCTGCGTTACATTCGGACCATGTTGAGACTGTGGAACTGGTTTCCATACCCATTTTTACACTCGTACCTTGTAATGTCCGCCTGGTCACAGTTCCGTGTCCCGTGTTAACTGTAGCGTCTGACCGGTGTTTTGGTGCCGCCGGCCGGCAGCGATCGACCTGTCCGCCGCCCTGCCCGGTGGGTCACTCCGTGTTTACGGAGCGGTAGCCCGGGGGACGTCGGCGGCGGCTCCGTTCGTTAGCGGCAGCTCGTCAGATCCCGGGCCCCGATAGCCCCCCCCCCCCCCCGCCGACCGACCCCCGGGGTGTAAATTACTCCCACCGTGCCGCTGAGCCCCGCTGACGGCAAGTCACCGGCCGCCGCTGGATTTAGGGCTGCAGAAATGCCAGCAGCGTCTCACAATGAGGACATATATCAGAATGGTGAAATGTCACGGCATTGAGTGGCCACGAAACCCCGGCTTTCGCCGAAAACTGGCGTAAATAATGGACCGTGATGAGGTTGTCTTATGTTGGATTAGTTCACATACTAGCGCCAGTTAGCTCGCGAATTAAGCATATCTACATCAACTAAAGTTTGTTTGCACTTTGCAGTGCATGAGTCCAAGCACGTCCACACCCTAAAGACCTTATGTGCGACGGAGCAATCGAATCAAACATAACTTTCAATATAGGGCCCATCATATTGCACACACTTATTGGCGTGACAATGTAATGTAAACGTACTTTTTTTCTCCCGCTTAAGGCGGCCGCACACTGAGCCATTCGGCGGGCGAGATTCCGCAAAAGCGGAATGTCGCGGGCGACATTCCTACAGCGGCTTTCCGCTTGTTTTCAGCAGTTTACAGGACCATTCGGCGGTGCGATTTTCTACTTAGTATTTTCAGGAACTTTATGTGAAACATTTTATGATAAATATAAACGAATGCAAACTAAATACATTTAAGCAAATACAATATTTGCTTATTAAATGCGATTATGCTATATTTCTGTACAATAAAGTTTTGAATATCTATTAATTTGACATAATTACTGGAGGAAGTTGCAAAAAATAAAGCTCGTGATTAATGTAAACAACCGTGTTTGTCGACAAATGCAAGAAACCTAAAGACAATTGTGGAGAGGCACATAGTAACCCATTATTGGAATAGGGACCGTGTATATCACACCACGGTGAGATTTACACAATACCGGCCATTTGTGTAAATCACACCCACCCCGGTGTGATATACACAAAATCTACTACGTAGTGTAAATCACACCCGGGTGAGGAATACACAGAGAGGGCAGCTGTGTGTATATCTCACCACGATGTGACGTCATAGCAACGCTGAACGTCCATTGGTCAGAGCAGTGACTCTGCTCGCCCATTGGTCAGATCAGACTAAGCACTACGAATATTCCGGCGGGATTCCGGGCGTCCTCTCTCTCGAATTCAGCTGACCGCCTGGCCTAGTGGTGAAGGTGCTTGCACCATGATACGGATGTTGCGGGTTCGAGTCCCGTCGGTGCGGGCGCTTTTTCCCGCATTTTCGCTTTTCCTTGGTAGCGGTGGGTTCGCTGCCGACCGACAAGTTTAAAAGCACCAATACAATATGGAAAGCGACGTCTGAATGCTCGTGGCGAAGCGGTGCAGTGCCGAAGGCAATGCCTTAGGAGAGATTACAGGCAATGGTAAGTCAAATATTTTTAGGTTAAGTGGTTGTGTATCTGGCTTCAGGCCGAAGGCCTGAAGCCTGATGGACAACCACTTAACCTAAAAATATTTGACTTACCATTGCTTGCAATCTCTTCATGCGAGTACCTTCTTCCTCATCCACGGGTAGGCAAAAATCAGTAGGTCAGGTTAGGTTAGGTTAGGTTAGGTTAGGTTAGGTTAGGTTAGGTTAGGTCAGGTCAGGTCAGGTCTAAGGTTTGGTTAAGTGTCTTGTTACCGTGCCTACTGTGTAAATCTCACCCAGGTGCTGCGTGGTTTGACACCCAGGTGTGATTTACCCACTACCGAGCACACAGTGTATATCACACCCTGATGAGATTTACACATTGGCTAGGCCTACTGTGTAAATCACACCCAGGTGCTGCGTGGTTTGACACCCAGGTGTGATTTACACACTAGGAGCACATTGTGTATATCACACCACGGTGTGATTTACGCATTTGCCGGGCCTACTGTGTAAATCACACCCAGGTGCTGCGTGGTCTGACACCCGGGTGTGATTTACACACTAGGAGCACATTGTGTATATCACACCCCGGTGTGATTTACGCATTGCCGGCCCACTGTGTAAATCACACTCCGCGTGGTGTGATATACACAGGAGTAGTGTATTGTGTAAATCACACCCGGGTGAGGTTTACACTACAGTGCGATGCATTATGTAAATCTCACCGTGGTGTGATATACACGCGTCCATTGGAATAACCAATGAAGTGTATAAAAACCATTTAATATGGGGAAAGAAGTGCCGCTACGATTTTTTATCAAGTGAAGTCTATTTCTCGGCTGCTCCATCAATAGTTGGTGAGTTTCAAGTTCCACAATTTCGGGTGTCCGCGGCGTCGCCGCGGAAAAGGCTGAACCTGTCCAGCTTTTTCCGCAACTCCGCGGCTGTTCGCGCGCATGCGCACTCTACCCGCGGACAGCTAGCTGGCAGCGGTCGGCTGATAATTTTGTCGTTTCGGCAGCTGATTCGGCGTCCACGAAAGCGTAATGTCGCCACGGAATTGCGTTTTTGCGGAATGTCGCCCGCCGAATGGCCTAGTGTGCGGCCGCCTTTACCGTCCTTGTAAATCAAACTTTTATTATATTCGTGGTGTGGCTGCCCCGGCATTCTCTTTTGCTTGCTACCTAACACCCCATTGTTCATGACATCCCTCCGATTTTTCCGTGACAATGGACCCATTACGCGCAATGCGTATAACAGTAGCACCCACGGCCTGGACGTCATGTGCGAATGTTTTGCCTTCTGAGTATTGACCCGACAAACACTCACTAGGCCATGCGGGTGGCAAAGAGGGCGTTTACATTTGGGGCGTTTTCGGGTCAGGGCTCCGGGGCACCTGCAGTGCAGTATTCATGAGCACAGCGAGTACGATCGATGCGTGTGGCGATAATGTATGCGTGCGGAGTGCGCTGGCACGTGTGGTCTGTACAGACCGGTGGTGATCGCCGCTTAACGTCCCAGCCGCCCCATGCTTTGTGTACTTAGCGTGAGCGTGTGTCGGAATGTGCGTGTGAGCGCTTGTAAGTGGCGGTATGTGCCAGATACCTCATGGAACAGAGGTGACTGGCGAACGGGGCGGGTGTGAGCGAGAGTGGGTCATGCACACACTCGGTGTCAGACCCAGTGGCCACTTGAGACAGCCTCTCCTGGTGTGGACGGTGGAGTACTCTCGCCGCGATGGGCGGCCCATCCCCGCCCAGTATCGACCCTCATACGGACACACAGTCCGCACTGCCCACTACCGTAACGTAGCGGCGGTCACGCGTCCTAAAACCCGCCCGGTAGCCCCCCCCCCCCCCCCGCGGCCGGCCAGCCACGTCGGGCGTAGTTGACCAACGGACACGGCCCGGTGACCCCCCCCCATCCCTCACCCACCGGCGCACACCACCGGTTGACCCGTCCCACGTCGGTCAAACCCATGGACAGCCTGGGGCTCCTAGTGATTAGTTCTACAAACGTCCGCCGCGTGTCGCCACCGGCGCGGTCCGGGAAATCAATACGCTGCCCCAGCGTCGGTCACTACTGGGGAGAGAGCGCCGGCTGAGAGGAGCCAGGCCAGACCAGGGGCGTGGCCATCGATTGGTGGGATGTGGAGACGCGAGTCCCTCTTCCGGAGCTCCCCACCGCAGCCCCGGGGCGAAATCGAGGCGTCCAAACGAGCGTTACAGCGTGAAAGCCAGCACCGGAGAACGTTAAAACGAACTACTCAACTCGCTCACGCCATGCTTGGTTGCCATGGAAACCAGGTGCAACAGTTTGCACGGATGGAAAATGAATTGCATGTATTTCGCCACGCACAACGTAGGTACACATACGAACAGAAATCTACAGATACTACGCGCATAGATTACAGCGATTGGTACGCTTGGGCAGCATTGCGAAGGCGGGAGTACAATATGTCACTGGGCCGCTATAACGGCACAGATTGCGTAGACTGCGGCGACCCTGACCAGGTGAATAGCACTGGAGCAATCAGCAAGGACTGTTTCGGTTTAGCCTTTGGTGATAAGCCAGCGTCGTGTGTCGCCTTGCACATATTGCCATACACTGGAGCCGTTTGTACCGTTTGACTTTCGGTGATAAGCGGTAATGCCGGCGATAGATCGTGTAGCTTCGATAGAAGTGTGCTAATGCCTGTTGACTTATCAGGTAACTGTACAGTATCGGCCGGCAGGAAGGACTTAACTTCCTACACTCGCATGCTCATAGCTGCATAGACTCATTTGGCGAAAGCTGTAAGCTTTTGAACTATCCGGGCACATGGGGACGAATATCGACCCAGTCTCGCTCGCTGGTTGCGTTCCAGCGCCGCGTTCACCCCCGGGTCGACTGACCCATTTGGGCCCACTGTTCACCCCACTGATCCATATTCATGTGCGCTGTCGACTGGCGTTCGGTCACGGCTCGCAGTGACGACAGCTCAGGTGCGGGCGGCGGCCGCATACACACAAACAAACACAGAACGAGGGACCGTGTCCGGACGGCCATAGTCGGTCAGCGGCTGTAACCTTAGACCGTCAGCAGCCGGTGAACAGGCATCATGTCGCCACTCGTGCCCAAAAGCGTGAATGTGTGCGCGAGTTACTGTTGGATTCTGGTTTAGAAAAGACCATTTTTTAATATACTCGTAGGTATGAGTTTAGTAAGTGGAGGTCAACCATTATAGGGCAGCTGCATCAGCAAAGATATGGCGATCAAAGCTGTGTGATCAAGTGACCAAACGGACATACGGTGGTATATTACGCTTACTCGTATAAAAACTGACAAACCAGGCAAGCACAAAAAGTCGGGTGATATTTCTGCTGTCCCATTTCCAAGTGTTTGCATAATTGCGGGTAAATGAAACAGGCTTTGTTAAGAACTTTGGTGATCCGCAAATAACAATGTCATTGCATATTTATAGCAGTCAGTGGTTGTAGATATTTTCCGTGTTAATCGACTATCTATACCTGTTGTGGTAGACACGACATCTACCATTCGGTAACTCGGGCACTGTGACCAGGCAACGTGCATGTGCTCATTCTACCTTTGATTTCTACCTTTTCTCTTCGATCTCTTATTGTTAGTCTGCACCTCGCCGGTGACAACAGTCGAGATCGCACACTCGGGCCCTCTGGCTGGTTACCCTGGCTCCGTCCAAAACTAGGCAGTTTAACCAGGCAGCGCAATAGATGCGATAAGTTATTTACATCTCGGAACCTAAATATCTAGATTAAGCGTCACGCCTCGAAGTAAACCTATAGTAAAATCACAGGCATTCTCCGGTGATACTTCTCATTGTGAGATTATAAACATCTAGCCACTGTTCACCTGTTAAACCACCCTCTCCGCGTATTTCGTCTCTTGAAGCACATCTAAAGCATCTGTGGCGGTCGCGTGGCAATCGGGACGCATTCCCCTACCCCTTGCCGCGCCACTCAGTCCTCTCAGTCTCGAGCTTCCACTCATCTCAGCTGGATGCTTGGTAACACGGTGGAGGAACACCCGAAGACAGTTCGAACACTGTGTGGCGTCCATAAGCGCTGATGTGTTCGACGCCCCTTTGCTGTCTGGGAGGCGATCGAGAGACAAAGACTGCCGTTTGCAACGACTGAGACTAAACTGCGCGTGGCAGTAGATACAGCCGTCCGTGGCAGTCGAACTAGCGGCCCGTTCGGTCAAGAGTCGCCTTGCGGACGGACAATGCGAACTGTCTCTGAGCGCGGCAGTTGTGGCCACACCTCACAGGCGAACGCTCTCCATGACTCCGTCGCCGTATACTCTGATGCGGCCACTCAGTGCTGCTTCTGGTAGGTGTTCTGGTTCTTATAGCCGTGGACGTAGCCGGAGTCGGTGTGGATGTCCTTCCTGCCGGGGGCACCGCGGCCCTTTCCGTGCTCGTCGAATCGTAGCCGGTGTGACGCGCCGTACTTGCTGACGTCACACAGACGGTCGTACACGTTACTCTTGGTGCCCGGCTGTCGGAAGAAACGGAGGCGGTTTGATTAAAGTAGAAGGCAGAAGTAAATGGGGAGAGATGGTGAGGATATATCATATGTAGAGGATTCACATTTAGCGGGGCAGAGCGAGAAGATTCAGGCAGGGGATGTTTCGCTTGTTATAGAACGGAAAGTGACGGTAAAATCGCTGGATACCAGTCAGGGTCAGAACGGGGGGGGGACTCAATTATAGTATGACCATTTTAGGTCAGTCATACATAGAGCATTGTTTGACATGCGGCCGTTTAAATAAGCAATAAGCGTGATACTGCGTGGAATGCGACGCGGTATGTTGGGTTAGCTCGAAGTCTTTGAGCATTGCAATGCATAATGCCTATGGAAGTCACATTCATTATACCCCCGGTCTATCAAGATACCAGGCCTATATCTTCAAATGCTACACTCCTAATAAAACCTGCTTTGGTCGGTTAGCCGTTAGTATGACAAATATGAAGCGTTAGCAACTCCTTCATTTTTCCTGATTTCGTCGGATCAACTACCACTATTCATGGGTCGTTGGTATTTCGCACCAATCACGGAGCTGGTTTTAATTACATCTATCACTAACAGGTGGCCATAAAACCATGACAGATCGCGTGCCTTTCTGAAATCAACAGCGCTCGAAAATCACCGCGCCGTCCAATGGGCGATTACACGTCATGACAGATGTCGGGTCGCTGTGCCGTGCTTAATTCACTGTTCGTTACCAGATCATCACTAACGAACAGAAGGCCGACATGGATTCGAGCACGTTAGCTCATTGGATGGCAAATTGTGGCCGTGCTAACCAGTGTGAAATCATACCTGGGTTTGTAGCTAACAACTGTGTCCGTATCTATGGCACGGGTGTGTGTGGCGCGCATACAACATCTAAGAAGAAGGTTAGGAGGAGCAGAGATTTACTCAGAACTGTAAGCTTATCAGCTGCATAGACGGGGCTTCCCGGAGGATGACTGCGACACATTGACATTTGACAGCTTTGAATCGATTATTGATGCCCTGCAATGGTCCTCTGTTCAGTCATTGGTAGCTTTGTCCGTGTGAAGGGCGGGTAGGGACAGCCGTACATTTGTCTGATAGTGAGGAGCAGCCAAAGTGTTCCACTTAATTAAGTTGTGGGATGATGCTCCACTTATACATATTTGTAGGATGATAGGTACACGCCGCCCTCACTCGCACCCGTACGCTTTACGCAAGAAAGATTACGGCAGATGTAATAGCAAGTAAATGCTCATTGCAAACGGATTTAGCTGACATTGAACGACGGTTGCAAAACCGTTGTACCACTGATTTACTTTGATCATTTGCATTCGTCGCTCATTGCTGTCTGTAATATTGTCGAACTTACGCTGGCGTTGCTTTTGTGACCGGGCGGCCCGCAGTTGGCCAGCTTTTCCTTCATTTTGCCCGGTGCCACCTTTTTACTTGTGCCCAGCTCTTCAAGGAACTTCTGGAACTCCTTGAAATGGATTTTCTGCTGCCTGAAATGAAGTTCCATCAGCATCATCAGCACACTTATACGGGCGTGACCTAAATGTACGGTATTTACTGTTAACTGTAAGGTCTGTGGTTTCGTAAGCGGCTTTGGTATCATATGGGTTTGGTTTACCTTCACCCAGCATGACACTGACTGTAAACAGAACTATAAGTGAGTAAGGTGACAGGCGAAAAATCGATTCGTATTAATCATGGCGAATAGCATTAATAATTAACATTGTTCTGCAGCTTTAATGAGCTAGCGAGGGAATTCAGTTGGCTGCCGCTTTAAGTCGATGTCTGGCATTAGCATGGCCCCTACCGCCCACAGGAACACCGTCCGTCCGTCTTAACCGACGACGTACCGTCTTAACAGGAAGACGGTCCGGCGGCTAGGTGGTGCGAATGACTCAGCTAAGAATAATGTTAATTCTTAGAAATGATTCTGACACCAAAATGTCACTTAAAAGCAGTTCCCCGTAGCATTGGAATTTGTGTGCATTGAGTTCCTAAATTCGTTTGGAATATCATAAAAGTTTCATCATTCCCACATATGACATAACCCTTCAATCCTTACTTGAACTTTTTGAAGGCGATGGCGGTGTCGGTAGTCGTGACCGTCCTTCCGTCGATCACCTTGGCCTGCTTCATCCACTTATCCGACTGTGAGAGCGTGATGGCCGAGCCGTCTGACTTGGTGTCGCCGTACTTTGCAAACGCTCCGAACTGCTGCCGCAGCACGGACGGGCCGCGCCGCGCCTCGCCGTTCTCTGAGCCGCCGGGCGTGGACGGCGTGGCGGCCGCGGGGGTGGCCGGGGAGGCCGGCTCGGCCGCCGGGGTGGCCGGCGTGGACGGTTTGTCGGATGGAGTGGCCGCGCTGTCCGCCGGACTGTCGGTCTGCCGAACAGGGGTGTCCGGAGCGGAGGAGTCGCCGTTACCGGTCTCCGACATCCTGTGGAAGCGGATGGGTGGGGTTAGAGAGGCGGTGGGCTGGGCGGTAATTATGGAGACAAAGAACATCTCATGCCTTGCTTTCCCGGTTGGTGTTGACGATATTCACATAAACTAATTCATTTTGTCGGCCTGTCTATTTGCTGGCACATGCATATCTATAAGCGGATCTACACGCGTTACTCGTTTGTCAGTGCATTCAAATGCGTCTGTCTTGTCCCAGTATCTCACTCCTTGCGTCATTGCGTCTTCCATACGTCAGTGCGTTTGCCGTGCGTTAGTCAGTGTGTCAGTGGGCTTCAGTGCGCCAGCAGCTCTGTCATTGCGTCAGTGCGTTTGCCGTACGTCAGTCAGTGTGTCAGTGAGCGCACCGACACGCCGCGTGCGCCGCTGTGGTTGGCGCAGCGGTCACGGTGCGTCGCCGGGAGCCGTGGAGCCGTGTGAAGTCAGTCGGCACGACTGGCGCTACCGCTGCCTCCACTGCCCTACTGCCGTGCCGCTGCCGTCACCGCCGCGCTGCTGACGGTAGCTAAACGGTGCGTGGTGCACTTTACCTTCATACGTGATGCACTGACCACGAGTGTAAGGCAAATGAACGATGCTCTTGAAATTTAGGTGGTGCGTTATGCTTCTTAGGTCATGAAACAGGACAGTGCGCGTCAAGCTACTTTGGTTTGCTCCGCGCGGACCGCAACGTAAAGAGTGGTTCCGTTGTCGTACCATTTAAGTGAAAGCCTTGTTCGTTTCGATGAGTGCATTCTGAGCTTACCATTGGCGTAAATGATGTGCCAAAGTTCCGCGGTTACAGTGGTAGGCACATGTCGAACACTTCAGCATTAGAGCTGCTAACCTGAACCGTTTCTTATGAGCTGTTTATCAGTTCGGTCGCCGGGGAGTCATGTATATAGCGCATGATAACGTCCCAGTCACGGGTGTAACCGGCGGTTTTACGATCCCGACCAGCGTCGTCTCAGTGGTCTGCCAGTCATGCCACTGTGTCTCGGGAGCAAACACTTGGACAGATAGCGCCGGCTGAGGTTTCGTGCCCGAATAGCCCCGGGAGACGGGAGACGGGGACGACAGTGCGTGTTTGAACGGCGCTAGTAGCTGAGAGACGGACGACAAACACCAAGCGCAGCGTCGGAAACGATGCGCTGGCCATCCCGCTGGTGCCTATATCTTCCTAATTAGGATCCGACGTTTACGTGCTTGATGTTTTTGTTCGTCCGTTATATTTCTTTTCCTCTCTTCTATTGTACTTTATCTTCGTTTTGATTATGAAAGGAAAAATATTAGCTAAAAGGATTGAGCTGTTAAGCTATTTCGAAATTCGAAGTAATAAAATATTGGCATTGGGACCAAGGTTGGCGTCTGGCGATGCACGCACACCGCCAATGTGGACCAAGGTCCCTTCAATCCCCTCCCCATCCCCGTCGGCCGTCCCCCCCCCCCCTTCGTTCGACCTGCAGAGTTTGCCAGGTGTGTCAGTGGTCATTTGATTGGCGGTTTGCCACGGCCGGGGCAGGTGCCAGCCCACTGTGCGCCGCTGCTCTGCTGTGTGTACGGGGTTGGAGGTCACGCCCCTATCCGTCGCCAGACCCCCACCCCCCACCCCCCACCCCCAGGGAGGAGCTCCGTGGCGGGGCGTCTATTGTTAGCTGGGACGCTGATACCGGGCGGATTAATCGTGTTATCCAGCAGCATAGCATGGTGGTAGGACACTAGCACGAGTTGATAACACAAGCAGTGATGAGTTTTTTAGGCGGTCCAATTCATTCTGCAGATATGGAACACTGAGTCGCTAATGGGGTATCCAACCCGCCAGGCCGGGCAAATTGCTGCCTGAATGGCAGCATGGCACTAATGGCACAGCGCCACGCCACGCTGCTGTGTGGAGGACAGGAGAGATGGAAACAAAACAGAACCACAGGACTTATGGCTGTATTTTGTACATCACACGATGTCCGGCCTTCTTGTACGGGCGCTGACCTGTTGCTCTAGGCCAGTCCGTCTTTTATAACGGCACGGACGTCGCTCCTACGTGGACCGGCTCCGCTCCCTATCATTTACCAGTTGTAACTCTGTGGGACCGTTCCTAAGCTCATAATCCAGTACGAAGTACGGACGCTGCATAACCTCTGTGGAATCGGCCGACCCTTCTGTATAAATTCAGCTACACCTCTCTGAGACCGATCTGTGTGTACCCAGGCCCTTTGTGACCGTTCTTCTATATCAGTACGGACTCTATAGCTCTCTGGGACCCTCCTTTATAAATTCAGCCATACCTCTGTGGGACCGGCCTGCCCGGCGCTCCCAGGTGCGGCCCATATACACAGACGCTCCTGAGTCCCCGCGGCGGTGGTCTGTTAGTCACTAGGCAGCGGTCGGTTGGTCACTAGGCAGCCGCCCACGGCCCTGCACACTGCACTGGTCCATAGCCGGCGGCAGGAGAGCCGCACTCACTGTGTCAATTAGTAACACCGTTACGGCCAGCCGGCACCTGCAACCGTCACCGGCGACTGGGAACGTGTCTGTGCACTGTGCGTGCACCGTGCATCGCGCTCGCTGCAGCGGTGGGAACCAGCAGCCGCCACACAGTCTGCTGCCGAGGGGACGCTCTGCCGACCGATGGAAACTTCGTATGATTTTGATGCAGTACATTGGGTTGGATCTTTTTATCTATTTTGTAAGGCATGAACAAGTTAGCTTATTTATCAAGTTTTTGCAAGACTTACATATTTTATTTCAACCTTTCTTTGCAAATAATGTTTGGTTATGGCAGACCACTTGAACCGTGGGCATTTTCCATCGAATGTTAGCTGAACCAATTTACCGATGACTTCATGGAATTGATGCAGCTATAGCAAACAGTAAGATGGTTAATCCCATGCTTTGCAATGGGACTAAGACCTGTCATGTGTGTTGTTTGAACTCACAACCGGAGCAGATAGCGACGTCAGCTCTCACCCCTGACAGCTCGGTGGTCAGAGCGTCTATGCCCAGCCCCTTGTGACGGTGATTGCGCCGCGCCGAGCGCTGATGTGTAAACTGTGACAGACGAATAGACGGACGGACCGAGCTCATCAACGCTGAGGCTTAGGGGCGGACTTTGAAGGGAAGATTTAGATAGACAGTCTCAACAGAAAGCGTCTGCCCTGGGCTAGAAGGGAACAAAACTTGGCATGGAATAATCCAACGAACGCAACGAGTTTTTCACAAGGTGGTTTAGATAAGATAAAATGACAACCATTTTTCATAAACGGCGATCTGGTTTCCCAGTGTGAAAAGAAATGCTACACTTAGTTTCTAGGACCTATCGGTCCCATTGGCTTCCAGCTCACCGGCTTACTGGCCTAAATCGGCACTGGCGCCGTTTTGGCAGAGAAACGTATCTGCCGCACACAGAAGGCTTGAGACAGAGGGTAGGCTGTGCCGGAGTGCACAGTGGTATTACGGCGCAGTTTGAATGACGGTGAAGTCTGGACAGTTGCAGTGGTTGTGCCACAGTACAGTCTGGTATTACAGCACAGCCTGGACGGCCGGTAGGCTGTGCCGCAGATACAGTCTGGTATTGCGGAGCAGCCTGGACGGACGGCCGCAGTACACAGTGGAATTACGGCGCAGTTTGAATGTCTGTGCCTACGCAATGAGCAGTCTGGACAGACAGTAGGGCGGCAGGCTGTGCCGGAGTGCAGTATAGACGGCAGGGTAGACTGTGCCGCAGTACACAGTGGCATTACGGCACAGCTGGCGTTCGTACCGATACAAATACCATGATCGCTGGTATCCACGGCCATAGACACCCAATGACCCGTATTCCCCGCTCACCCTATCGCAAATGTGAATTAATTGCCGCACTTTGGACAAACCGACGCTCTTAAAAGAAATCAATTAATGCGTCTGATTGTACGAGTAGCCCATTTAGGTACTCCTGGCTGTAATGAGTAAGTACCTACCGTCCATGACAACGAACACATCTGCCAAACCAATCCCGTTGTGTTGCATCATGCTGTCACTACGCCAGCAGTTTGTGCAAACAGTGGTGTAGGTAGCAACCATCATTCTAAATAAAAGTATTTCGCGGTGTGATAGTAACAGCTATAGTAAACCTCTGTGGTCGATTGTGCCAGCTGTGGGCACCCGTGCGTAAATGCAGAGTACCTACTACCGATTCGGTTCCGGGTGCAAGTGTCCCATGAATCACCTCCCCCCTCCCCTCCCATTACTGAGGGTCGGTGGTGTCCCCGCCCGGGCGTCCAACAGTAATTGGCGCTGCACGATTGATGCGGCCGTACCCTGGGGCGTGACGCGTGACGCTCAATCGGGGCGTCACACTGCGTCACGGTCCGTCACGGGTTACGTTACGGTCCGTCACGGGTTACGTTACGGTGCAACGTAATGGGAGTGCGGTAACGAAAGTTTTTTTTTCGTCAAATTAGCGGCGCTGATTCCGATTGGCGCTCGTCCGCATCGGAATCTCAGGCCCCTCGTTCGCATTCGGAGTGAAGCTGTAAGTACACAATTGACAAAATTGAGCATTGATTTCGTTTTATACTGATAAGTCAAGTGCATCAGTATATGGGCCTGTTCCAGCGCCTCCAGTAGAAGTTCTTGACTGGAGGCTCTACCAGAGGTTTCACTGGAGGCGCTGGAACGCAATCTGGAGATTTCTGGAGATAAGCATCACATATACCTACCAAAAGAATGACGATTGTTCTCTCTTGAAACACAATTTTTTTCAATTTTATCAAGAAAAATTAACAAAATTATAGCAATGTAATTTTCTTTACATTCAAGTTGTAAAATAATCAGTCAAAAGTCCTTTGTTTACATTCGCGATTGTCACATGTGCGCCATAATTGTAGACCAGAGCCTCCAGAGAAATTTGGACCTCTCAACTCTCTGGAGGCTGTGGTAACCACGTGTGTCGCCGGCCGGCACGGGAGTTCCCGGCGCAGACCGATTCACGCGCCGACTTGTGACGTCGCTACCCCGCCCCGG